GCCAGAGCTGTGCAGCAGTTACCAGTATAACTGAAGTCCTGTAGAACAGAGAGCCTCGGGGCAGGCAAATTTATTTTCTGTTTCCTGAACCACAGATATCAGCGGCATGCGGATGGCATGTTTACCAGTGAACTCAGCAAAATGAGAGGAAATGCACAGGTTCAGAAACTAATCAAGTCTCTCGTGGGATACAAACGCAGGTAAGAAACTACACTCATGGCAAGTCAAAGAGGGTTGTGGGCACTTCTGTCTGTCAGTGCCTTTATCCCCATGCTAGAAATTCGCTGTCTGGAATGCAGCATGAAGGGTTACTATTCACTAGGAAGAAGCTGTCTGTTTCCAGTTCTTTTACAAATCTCAGGCAAGATACTACACTGTATTGGTCCCTTCCCACTTGCTTCTATTGCAGTTTCCAACATATTATAGCAATTGCGTTATCAAGACAGTCCCATGCCACCCTGCTCAACTGAATGTGTCATTAAAGGCAGAAAAAGTATCACTGAGGCTGCCCGATGCTTTCCATTACAAGACTCTGTTAAGCATTGCTTATAATTTTGCTAAACTTTAATGATTTTGACTGAAATTTTCCATGCTGGGTGTCTCCCTCAGTCTCAGTTCTTTTTCCAAATGGACAGGGAAATTTCAAATAAAATTGTTCAGCCATTAAAAAAAAAAAGATCTGAGGAAAAGAGGGTCCTTGGTCCACATTAAACTCTTATGGGCTTCTGTGTTTCACTAAGAAGCTCTAATACGCCCATGCATTGAAGCAGGGACATTACATTTGGTGAAAAAGGCCACTCTGGTGCGAGGGATGTGCCTTTTGCTGTGAAAATCCTCCTACAGTGGGCCAAGTTATGTGCCTCAAATGAGTCTGTATTGAGCATATGAGAACTAAGATTTTTCAGTTTGGTAACTATGTCTTCTGAAGATGCCAGCTGCTCTGATCATGCCCCACTCCTGGACTGCAGGCAGTAAGGACAGACAACCATAGCCCTGGCGTTTCCTAAGATTTAAATGCTTGATTTTGCAACCTTAATATTCCTTAAATAGAGAGAGGAAGTTAGCTGTGTTAGTCTGAAGTCAGGCAGAAGGCATTATTCTAGAGTTATTCTCTATTCTCACCTTAAAGAATAACTCAGCATGAGCTTTTTCAGGCTACAGCCTACTTGGTCAGATGAAGCATAGTATCTGATGTTGTAGACTTGTACAGCCTCTCTGAACAGGTTAGCCTATAAGGTGCCACCAAAGCCCTGCTTTCTGCCATTTCTTTTAGTGCTATTTGTATTACAGCAGTGCATAAAGGCCTGCTGCACACACAGACATAGTAAAAGAGACAGCTTGTCCCAAAGAGCTTCTTACAATCTAAATACAGTCCAAGGTAAAGGATGGCAGAGGAAACAGAGGAAGTGACTTTCTCAAAGTCATGAAGCAAATCAATAGGAGAGCTGGAAACAGAAGTGAGTCTTCCTGAGGCTAAGTCAAGTGCTATATCTACTGCCCACCTGTGAAGCCTTCTCTTTAGGATTATAAGCTATAGGCAGCTGGGGCTGCTTTTTGATATTGGCCAATGTTGTGAGCTGCCCCCATTCTCATTAACATTCATTTCATCTACACATGGCCAATCAGATCTCGTATGGGTGCAAAAAACCTAGTGGCTAACTGAGCCTCAAGCTGCTGTTTATTGCAATGCAAATGACAGCCACCACTGCTCCTAGCCATTGGTCACATAACAATAGGAGAAAGAGATTGTATGGAAGCAATCACGTCTAGCTTGTTCTTTCTTTGAGACAGGATCCTCATTAACTATCAAAATAATTCCTTTCCCTCTTGTATTTTGGATGTTTGCAGTGCCCACCCATGGACTAGATCAAGACAGTGACACTGGTCTGGTGCCTAGGGTGGGCATGGCAGGGCCCCATCTGGCTGCACAGAGGAGGATGGGGGCAGCCTGGCCCCAATTCAGCTGCATGTGGAAATAGGGTGTCACCAAGCTCCAAACCAGCCACGTGGGGGGAAAGGGGCATAGCCTGCCCCAACCTGGCTGCACAGGGGGCAAGAAAGTATGGCCTGGCCCCGATTCAGCCGGGGAAAGGGGACATGGCTTGACCCCAGTTCAGTTGCATGGCAGGAGGGGTTCCTGGCTCAGCCCCAATCTTGCTGTTCGTGGGGAGGGGCTTGGGATTTGGCAGTGGAGGAGAATGATGGTATTAATGGCCACTGCTCCCCCTTTGCCAAATTTCCTGACCTTCAGGGTGCCCAGTGGGCCACTTTTGGCCCACAAGCTCGAGGCCAAGTACCCCTGCCCTAAGTGATTCACTTCTTGTGAAAGTCCTCCCGATGCACTAGATTTTTACTTCATGGTTCTGTATGTGTGTGTGTGG